GATTCAGGGCCTGCTGCACTTTGTTGGACAGGCGCAACACGTCTACCTCATTAATTTTTGCCTGGTCTTCTTCGGTCACCAGGCATCGAAGCTGGCTCGCTACTTCCACGGGAGCAGAAAGAGCCTAGGAATCCTCTGGGATAGTGATAATTATCGACCTCTTACGACCGGGGTCCACACTCGGGATAGTGAACTAGTTGACTAACTTTGGGCTCGAGTTTAGCCCTCTAGCTTTTGAAGACGGATCCTTTCTCGGCACTTCCAGGTCACCCAGCCCTGAAAAGTCTTCCAAGATGGACGAGTCCACACCGTAAAAAAAAGAACGAAGGGGATCGTCCACGCCATGATCCCGAGATCTCAATTACGATGGGCACTTGCTTTGATGTAGAACCGGCATCCTTGAAAGTTTCACCCCGGGGATCTGCGTCGGCTTTCAGAGTTGAAGGGGGTAGGCCTCGCGAGTCTCTCTCTCGGATGCCTCCTAGTCCCCGGGATAAGGGGTCGTCCTATAAGTTACGAAGACAGATTCATCCTTTGACTCATCCCTAAGCCGAATGAGGGACTCAGAGGCAGGCACACGGGAATGGGAGCACCTCCTAGGCTTGCGGAGCACCCCCTTCTTCGATTTCTTCGCCTCGGAGCTCGGGGATCCCAAAAGTTTTCTTTTTCTCTTCTTCTTTCCGAACAGGCGGGGGCACATATTCCTCCCTTTCCAAAGGCCTAAGTTCGGTGGTCTTAGGCAAACCTATAATGATAAAGAGAAGGGTTTAGTATAATATAAGATGGAGACGTAATGATGACTATTTCCATGAGAACAGACTTCCAATTGGCCCTTTAAGAGTCCGCGCCATGTGCGATTGAAGTAGAACATCTGAGTGCAGATGCCCTCGATCCACTCCTTTAACCGGGGGACCGCATTCGGAACCCGGGCAATAGTTACACAATCACAAACACGAATGAGAAGATCGAAATAAAGGAAGAAGAAATTTTGGTGCTAAAAGAAGGAGTTACACTTACGAAACGCATTCCACTTCTCAGGGAATGGCATGTATTCTGAGGGGATCAAATCCTCGGTCTTCACTCGGACGAAGCGTCCTTGCCAGCCCCAGTCTCGGTTCTCGTCGATACTAGAGAAGGGGGGCTTTGCTGGCCTGGCATGTAAGCTTGCTCATTCCCCTTCGGAACATCCGGGGACTATATAATCGGAGCAGGTGGTCGATCGTGAATCGACGAGATTCAATCTTGTTCATGAAGTAACGGAGGAGGGTCACGATCCTCCACATTGACGGATAGATTTGCCCGAGGCACACTTCGTACCTCTTGTAAAAATCCAGGATGATCGGGTCTACCGGGCCCAGCGTGAAGAGATAAGTGTAAACACTTAAGTACCCCTTCACATGGGTAGTAACGGCGTCCTCGGGCCCGGGGACTACTGTGTCCTTGCCTTCCCTATCACAGTCCTTACAGACTATGGGAAGAACGTCCTCGGTCACAGAACGCATATATCTCGAGACCCATTAGCCCTGATCCTATTTGCGCGAAGGCTTCTCGACCTTGAAGTCGTCAGTAATTGAGTAGCCCCCGGGGATAAATGCCGATAAAGGAGGCTCAGGGGACGGTTCATTAACAACCGCAACAAGAGAAGCCATTTCGAGGGCCACCACCTTGGGGACGACCCCTTCAGTACCAACGACAGACTGAGAAGATGAAGAGGCAACTTGTTGAGGAACGATTTTCAATGTTTTTGCCATTGTCATTTGAGAGAAAGTTTGAAAGTTTGAAGAATAAAAGTTTTGGAGAAATGGGTTTTGAAGATGAAGAACAGAGTATGAAGATTTGAAGAGATTTTGGTAGAAATTTCGAGATTGCTATGGAGATTGAAGAATAGAGATGAAGATTTGAAGATTTGATGAAGGTTCTGATAATGGTTGATGGTTCGAAGATAGCGGTTTGATCGGAAAGTAGAAAAAGGACAAAGGAATGAGGCTTTTATAGAGAAACGGGCGACGCTTCACATTCGAAGGCAGCCCGCCGGTGAACGGCACGTGTCCGAATTCAGAACGACACGATTGATGGGACGCTTCGGCTCCCCGTCAAAACATACGAAGGAAGGAACCAGAGTCATCTATCGTTTCCCATTGTTTCGACAAACATACTTTGTGAGAAACGAGGGGACTATCTGTATACGGGTAAAACCGAGCCTGCTGCATGACTCGTCTTCCTGGTGAGCCAATCGAAGCAGGAACATAACTGTATTGTATCTAAGTCAGAACGAAGAACTCCTCGTATTAGGGCTCGGGCAAGGCACCTTCCCCCGGGGATATCAGGGCCATATCCTCAAGGGTCGATCTGAAGATTGAAGACTTTGGAGAACATTACCAAGTAGCTGCGCACGACTAACAAAGGGTCGTGATGCGTGCCTAACCGGATATCATGGCACGAATCTCGACTCATATTGGTGATCAGCGAAACTGAAGATTTTTACCTTTTTTAGAATTGTACTTAGAGTAAAACTCTCCTACTATATAAAAGGGAAAGATTATTATTAACAGAGACACATTATAACACGCATATCAATGTAATATACTCTTATTTTCTGTGTATTCAAAATTCTTACTTTTGTTCATCTGTTCTTCATTAGTGAAACCGGGATCGAAGGCAGGCATTTCATTAAGACGTTACTGAGTCCGGGATCACTCTCCTTATTGGTTTGACAATTTATTACGTCATTTATTTGTTTAATCTAACACAATTTATCATTTGTATTGAATACATTTACATATTCTTAAACCATATATAAATTTAATTGTTATCCCTTTTTAGGGAAAACAACAAGTTTCTTGAATTTCCTTTCTTTTAATTTGTGAAGCACAACACTTAATAACAACAACGACGACAACAACGATAACAACAACCTACTATAATTTTATTAATGGGGTATGAGGAGGGTAGTTTGTACGCAGACCTTACCCCTACCCCGGGGTAGAGAGTCTGTTTCTGATAGACGTTCACCTCTCTCTCTCTAAGAATTTCTCATCATACTTTTGGGATGACTCGAACTCACAACCTATTGATTGAAAAGGAATGATGCTTAGGTTACGGGATCACAACACTTATGATAGGAATATACAAGCTCAGACTTCATAAAGGAAACAAGTATGTTGTCACTTAATTTCTTTCACAATATTCAATGTTGTCGTTGTCCTATTTGAATTATTGGCACATTTTTATTAATTAAAAGCATGCTTAAGGGAGCTTACACGCAAAACAAGATAGACAAGGCTCCTTAATCATTCTGTTTAACCTAGGGTTGACAGCTTCCAGACTCCCGAAAATATCTTGGACAAGTCATCCCACTACTACTTTTTCTGTTCAACAACTGACCTAATTAAACAAAAGTTTAATTAGTTAGAGACTGAAATTAACAAAAGTTTTTTTTTCTCTATTCACTCAACTTTTTCCGTTAGTTAGAGACAAGCAAAGGAAAACGCCAATTCTCCTTTCTTCTCCCTCAACTTTAACTTAAAGGCGTAATATATACTTTCCCCCTCAACTTGCAAAGATCTTTCCCTTAAACATTTAATTAGGCTGAATAATATAATTATACATCTAAAGTTGCTATGCTTTTTTATTTTAGACATCTCAAGTAGCCCTTGTTCCGATTAAACATCTATAGTAGATTCAAAATGTACGAATCAAATACATTACATTGACATAATTAATAGCGTGAGTTGTACATACAAAATGCTAGAATAACTCATTACACACATCATTTTAAAAANATATATATATATATATATATATATATATACCTCAAAATCAAACAGATATATATATACCTCAAAATCAAACTACTTTTCGCCATTCTTACAGCTTTTTGAATGTAACAAACCAAGAAGATTGAAAGAAAACTGTAGGAATAAGAAGTTACATATATATTTTTATGATTTTTTTCAATTTTGTAACAAATCAAGATGAGTCCTTTTTTCTGACGATGATCGTTGGATCTAATAACAACCAAAAATTGAACAAGACATCTATTGATTTTTCAGCAAAAGACACTTGCCACAACAAAACAAAACAAAAAAACAAAACAAAAAATTATTGGCTGATGATCCTATGATTTTCTATCACTCTTCATCTCACAAAAAATAGCTTTGAAAACATGGCAGTACAAAATGGTCTTTGGCCAATTGTAACATTTCATGTGCTTTGATTCTTTGTCAACATTCTTTTCTATATATATGTTGTACAATGTCAAAGGCTACTTACATAATTAAGGTGTGTAAGGAAAACAATGTAAGTTGTGGGAGAAGTATGTATTAAGACTAAATTAAACAAGAGAAATGGAATGATCTTCTCATTCATATTTCATACCTCTCTTTTTATATTTTATCCTCTATTTTTTTTTTTACTTACAAGAGTAGATGACCTTGTTCAACTTGAGCGCAAAATTCCAACATTTTGATTTTATCTTATATATTTATTATTGATTCATTCTTAAATTGAAATTTATAATTTCTTAACTAATTTCGTAAATCAAGGTTATTAATACAATTATAAATAGGGCAAATGAATTTTTTCCTTTTTTTAGTGAAGAAAGTGAAAAATGCCATAATCCTTTTTTTTCATTTGTAATGTTTTCTATCAACTAAATTATTTGTTTTTATCATATCAATATTAACTTAATGAATCCAAGATGCTTAAATGCTCGATCCATTATGATTTCTTCTCAAGTTCATAGGGATAACAATCCCTCTCTCAAGAATTTTCATCAAGAAATACTAATTAATAGTTGGATTAAAGTAGTATCAAGGGAGCAATTATTCACAAAAAACAAAAAAGTAAAAAAAAGTGAGATGTATGTATGTAAAGGAAAATATACATAACCACTTGATTGCCACATGGCCTCTTAAAATCTGAGGAAAATATCATTGCCACGTATGCAATCCCAAGGAAGAGAGAAAACATAGTTAAAGATCTCCTCCTCTCTGCTCCATATCTTTTTCTCTTCTTATAAACTCTCTCCTCTTCCCCCTTATACTTTTCTTTCTCTAAATCTAATTTCTCTCCACACAAATCTAAAATAAACCTTCGGTTAACCCAAAATCTACTACAAGATTTTCACTGACCAATTTTCAGGATTACAATTTCTGGTAAATTCCTTTTTTCATTTTTCTTGAATTTTAGAAAATATTTACATCCATTTTTTTCTGGGTTTCTTCGTGCATAATATGTCAAATTTAAAGAACTGATCTTGTTGAAGGGCTTATATATGTTGAGCTGTATTTGTTTTTAGTTCTAATTTAATAAAGTTTTTTTTTGTTTTTTTTTTTTGCTAATCAGCTTTATTTAACTATTTTCAAAGTTTTTATAGGAATAAGAAATAGTACTCCATATAATTGAAGAATTGATTGATTTTTCAAAAGGCACTAATTTTTTTGTGCATTTTTGTAACTGTTTGAGGATTTGTTTTTTGGTTTTGCAGGACTAAGGGATATATTATTTATCTTCCTACTGTTAAAATAGTGAAATTTACAGCTGCCATAAATTTGAAGAAACAAGCTTGAAGCTCTAAGGTGAATTTTTCTTGATAAGAGAAGTGGATGGACCGTCCTCGGATTGGGATCCAAAATATGTTGAATTACAGTATTTTGATCCTTGATTGGTAGCGGGCAGTTGATGGCTTTACCAGCCGAGCATTTTTATCATATCACTAAAATTCTTGGATTGTCACACAGTTATATATGGCTGCTGCTGTTGCTGCAAGCGAAAGGTGGATTGATGGTCTTCATTTCTCCTCATTGTTTTGGCCTCCTCCGCAAGATGCACAACAGCGGAAGGTGCGTTTTTTTTACTTTGCTACAATATCTTATCGTCAGCATTGTGTGGAGAAATGCACATTCTTGGAGACTTGGATATAATATGGAACAAAAAGTTGAAGAAAAAATTGCTTCATTTAGGGGACATTTGAAATAATTATTATATCGGCTAAGTTTAAGTTGCTTAAGTGTTCTAGTTTTTTGTATATTGTGATAAGAGAAGAATGTTTATGGTTAGGTAGAAGGGTATACAAAAAGGAGGAATACAATGTCACCGAATTTAATGTAGTGTTCCATCTGCCAAAAGAGGCCCTCCAATCTAATTAAAGATAGGTTGAGGGAATCATGTAGCACTCCTATTAAAATAGTATGACTACCTTATCAAAAAGAGGGGGAAAAAAGAAAGAAAAATAGAATGACTATTTCCCCCCGACATGCTTTGTTGAAAGAAATGGGTTTTGGATGTCGAAAAAAATCCTAGCTTTATGGGAAAGAGATTGAGGGTAATTTGACATAAGCATGCATAAGCATTATCCATAGACCGCACCACAACTAATGAAGCATGCAGCCAAAGATTACCACTCTGTGTGACTAGAGCTTCAATGTTTAACACCACAAATTAACGAGGTAGATACAAATAATCTTTGCTGCGATTCTCTTGTAAAAGAAAAACTTGCACATAGTTCAGCTACTTTGGTTTGTCATTTGAAAAGCCTTCTTAATTGTACCTTATAATAAGTGTTAAACCTCTCATTTTCCAACATTAAGTAAATGCCTTGATATTTGGTGAAACTTTAGCTGAAAGTATTCTCCTCAAAGGTGGTGACAGAATTTTGTAATAGGATTCCAACCATTAAGAACGTCAGATGTCAATGACAATGAGAAGGATTTGCATGTGATTTTTTTTTTTTCAAGGGTTGGAAAGAATGACGTTAGTGATAGAATCGAAGATCTTGTGGTAACATTTGCTTTTTCATAGTTTAAGCCCATATAGAAATGGAATCCAATAGAAAGAGTTACTTTTCTGGTGGAAAAAAATGATAATGATAAAGTGGGAATATAATAAACGTTTGAAAGCCAGTGTTGATTTTATGAGATAGTAAGGAGCATCTCTAACCCAATGGTCCTACAAAAAGCAAGTTATTGTACCATGGTTTAGTCTTTCTCAAGCAAGTGATGAATGGAGGATATAGATGTGAGATACGCTTTTGACTTTCAAGTCCCCTAGAGGATGTCCTTGTGGCTGACTCATGAGAGTAACAGTTTGGAGATCCTAGGTTTGAATCCCATTTAAAATACTTGGCCTGAGCTCTTATGTCCAACCTTGGTGGATATGATTATATTCGCAGCCTGTTCCTTGTGGGCCGAACAAGTTGCCAGTGAATTAGGTCGAGGTGAGCCAAATTAACCTGAACACTGTTGATCTTAAAAAAATTAATTCATGGACTTTCATGTGTGATATTTTTACTTATAGAGACCATACTTGCTGCTAATCACCTTGTAGAGAGAATTGGGTTCTTCCATTGGTCACCCCAACTTTCTTCCTACTAAAGTAATTGATTTCTATGTCGCGCATGTTCCATTGTGACAGCTTGTTTATCAGTTGATTGTCTGACAAGTGGGTAACATGACTAATTAGCCGTCGAAGTGTGTAAAACGTGCAGGATATTACAATGAGGATTGGTTGACACATACTTCAAATGGATAACAAGAAGTTTCTTTCAAGGGGTGTCTGTGTTGTATAGTGTTCAACAAGGAAAGCACCCAATTGTGTGGCATAATGGTCAATAAAGTGGGTGCAAGCCTTGAGATCAGCGTTTAAGTCCCAACAGAGACAAAAAGCACTAGGATTCTTCCATTTTGTCTTAAGCCTTGGTCGGTAGACACTACCTGCTCGTGGGAGGTAGTAGGAACCCAGTAGATTAGTTGAAGTTCGAGCAAGTTGGCCCAAACCCCACCTTTATCAAAAAGAATGTTCAACAAGAAAAATGTTGACCAAGAAACAAACAATTCTACATAATGTATAATACTTCTCTAATAAAGTTGAGATGCAAGACGAATAAATGTGCTCTTTGCAGAGGGAGCAAATGGTGAGTAGTAAAAGGGACATAACCTGAAAGGCCAGCAGGTAGGTAGAAACTTCTTGAGGATTAGGCCTCTTATTAAATTTCGAGAAAATATCCGTGAATTGTGCACTACTTAAAGATCTCCGACACAGAATTCCGGCCTTTCCTATGCTATTTGTTGGACTTGGAATGAGTTGAGTTAGTCTCATTGCAAATCAACGAACTCCCATGTCGCATTCTTCTCAAGTGCACTCATCTCCTCCACCATCACCCGACTATCATCTTAAACTTTTTAATGCCTGAAAGACTTCTGTTTTTCTTTGTTCTCTATGGTCTGCATTTTGTATGTTCACTCATGGAAAACCTCTTTTTATATTCTCTTCACAGGCTCAAACTACTGCGTATGTTAAGTACTTTGGTCAGTCTACATCAGAACAATTTCCTGAAGATATAGCTGAGGTATTCAGTGAATTCTGAAGTGTTAAGTCTTTTCTTATAATTTTCAACATCTAGACCAAGTTTTATTCATTCTTCCCTGTAAACTAACTGCATGCGTTTAATTTGGAAGCTCATACGGAACCGGTATCCATCAAAGGAAAACCGACTTTTTGATGATGTTTTAGGTATGATTAATTCTTACTTATTATTTAGCATTTACGATATCTCTTGCACCTATTTGTGATGCTTGATTGACTTACTTCTGTTTTTTGTTGTTTGTTTCAATTGTCAGCGACTTTTGTTCTTCATCACCCAGAGCATGGGCATGCTGTAATTCATCCAATTATTTCATGCATCATTGATGGTACACTGGAGTATGATAAAAGTAGTCCACCTTTTGCTTCTTTTATATCGTTGGTTTGCCCAAGCAGTGAGGTATTCAGATTCTTTAACAATTAATTTGATTAATCTCATCATGCTTTTTTACTCTATGGTTTGTTTAAAGCCCGTCTTGAATATCATAATCTGGGTCATCCTACTAATTGTTAACCCTTAACGTAGAATGGATATTCTGAACAATGGGCTCTTGCCTGTGGAGAGATTTTACGAATCCTAACACACTACAACCGCCCGATTTTCAAAGTTGATCGTCAGGAGAATCGAGCAGATAGAAGCACCAGTGGAAGCCATGCTTCAACTAGTAAATCTGCCGACAGTGAATCTGGAGTGCCTTCTATACAACATGAGAGAAAACCCCTGAGACCATTGTCTCCATGGATCACTGATATATTGCTTGCTGCACCACTAGGGATTAGAAGTGATTACTTCCGTTGGTAAGCATGTCTTTTATTGTTGCTTACGGGTTAGATGTTCCGTTACACTTTAAAATTCATCAAGATGCAAGAGAAATTCATTAGCATTAGTTGAAAAGGAATATTTTTTATGCATATTGTTTCTTGTACCGCATGCTTTCAGGCACTTGCTGTGAAAAATTCTTCTAAATTCAAATGGAAAATTACTTGACAGTCCCTATGAGAAAAAAAGTTGTCTCACTTGTGTTTTAACATAACAGGACTTGATGTTCACCTAAACGGTGTACTAGCTCATTCTGGCTCTATTCTCTGCAACTTAGACTGTTTCTCCTTAGATATGGCTTGCCCATTAAGTTCAAACACTTACGAATTAAGAGATTTATCATGTAAAGCGTTCTGCGGTCATTGATCTTGAAAGCATATGTAATACTTGTGAACAGATTGGATGGATCTGTTCTTCGGAATTGTTTAGGGAGAAGGCGTAGGTTCAAATGATTCCTAAAACTGGGACATTGACTCAAGGTCTTTTATGATTGTGAGGGAGAGCACTTTTCATTGATGGTTACTTACAAAGTTTATTCCTGCCTTTGTTTGTATTGGTTTAGTACGAGTCCACTGATTGCTCATTTAACTATGCCTTTTTACTCTCTTCGGGTCATTGTGGAATTATTTTTTCATTTCCTGATTCCTTGTGACAAAACTTGGCAATCTGATCAGTCTTGTGGTCTGCTGTTTTTCTGTCTTTCTTGCATTTGTGTAGGCTTAAGACCATAATCCCTGGCTGGTATGCGATGTCAATCAGGCTCTTTCAGCTTTCTGCTATTACCATTTAGAAAGGATATGAGATAAAATTGTAATTTATGCCCAGTTCGTGTACTGTCGGCGTACATTGCCCCCTTAAAACTACTAAGAATTAATGTACCTTTATATGAACATTGCTCAACAGAATGTGAAGAGATCTATGTTGGATGTTCAAACATGTCGAAACAAATAGTATTTTGTATCTTTGACAATTTTTTCTCAACCATTTAAGAAGTTATGGATGTCCTAGGATACTCCTTATGTTTCTCCATGCTCACTTGCTTAACATGATAGGATTCTTTACCTCCTACACATTTGTTTCTTCTCCTATTTCATCTTGTATGGTTCTTTGCGAGAGACATGTTACGCTGGTTGATGCTGGTAAAGCGCATGGAACAATGCTCAAATTTTAATGGCATGGTTGTGCGCTTCGCCTCGTTAAATCTGAATCAGCACTTTGGTGCAAGCATTTAAGCGCTAAGGCATGCCTCATCGTCCATGGGTTCTGTTGTGTAAAGAGCAATACTGTGTTATAAATACTTCACCTAATTGTATCTTTTTCAATTCTTTTGTTTAAAAATCGTGGTTGGGATTTATAATGATTATTCTTGGAGTGTGTGCCTTCCTTCGTTAAAGCCCGTGCTTTATTAGTTCTTTGTGTTTAAAGTCCCAACAGATTTCAGAAATATTTTTTTTCTTTTTCACTTTTTACAAGATGACTCTGCTTTTGAGTCCATCTGTCCTTCAGAACTCCCAATGCTAGTCGGTGTTTATCTTCTCCTTGGTGCTTTTCAAATTAATGAACTTTAGGAATAATAAAGTTAAAGCCCGCTCTTTATCATCACTTTGTGCTTACAGGCCCAATAGTCTTCAGAAAGCTCATTTGCACTTTTTGCTTCTGATAACACTCCTTTAACTACATTTGTATCCTTCAGAACTTGTCCCAATGCTAGTCTGTATTATTTTCTTTTTGGTGCTTTTCAAATTAATGAACTTTTGGAACACTATCAATTTGTAGACCTGAATTTTTTTCATTGAAATTTTCTGCATTGCTGAGTTGTGGAGTTTGAGACTGATGAATCTGGACAAATGGAAACTACACTTTCCCGCTCTAAATATTGTGATCTTTCATGCTTGTGTAGGTGTGGTGGTGTAATGGGAAAGTATGCTGCTGGAGAACTCAAGCCCCCATCAAGTGGTGTGTGGACTTTCTTTTCGTGAAATGTTTGAGCCTGTTTTATGGTTTTAGACCTGCACTTCCAATATTTAGTTTTTAACACCTAGTTGTGCAATTCCTATGGACGCTGATAATGTGCTTGAAAATCTATGCAATAAGTATTTTCTTACCATGCTAAGTAAAATATGGGAATAGATTATTGACATCCTTTTTACTTACCCTATGTATAGTGAAAATAATGCTCTGAGCTCATGTTTAGAGAGATGGCATTTCAATTCACTGTAATGTTCCCTACGTATTATTCTTGCAGTAGTATCTTACTATCTGTCTCTGTGTGTGTGTGTTG